GGTGAGATGGAATTCCTACTGGGATTCTTTATGATGAAGAGTAATGGATCAACTGAGAACACGCTTCCGGGTTCAGTTTCTAGTGTCCTCAGTAGATAAAGGATTTGAAACATCTTATGGCATTCAATTCAGGATAGATTCTTTCTTCTTTTTTGGTTATAAATGGGTTATGGGATTTTGTTGAATGCCTTGTTAGTTTCTCTGCAGTGAACTCAGTTATACAAATATGTGAGACACCACTTCTATTAATAGTAGTTTCTCTGATGAATAACAAAAGAAAAAGATGTAAGGAAATAAAAGGGAAGTCATGAGAGGTAAAAAAGGATAGTAGTTGAATTAATTTGAAGTTTTTCTTGCTTAACAAGAAAGTGCATCACCAGTTACTACTCTTTATCCCGTTATGTACAGATATTTGCAAAGTCATGGGCCTTTTACTTATGGGTCCTCGAACCCCCTTGGTTGTCAAACCTTTTTATTTCTAATTTCCCACAGAAGATGAATATTTTCTGGGCTTTGTTCTCTGTTTGTATTCCTATGCTAGTGCATGAGCAAAGCAGGCTTTCATTGATTTGCTAACGTGCTGGAGGCCATTTCAAATAGCACCACTAATACTGTCTTGACAGTGTTGCTTTATGTAATTTTATCATTTTGTTATTTAGAAGAAAAAGTATTTGTTTCCTTGACTAGATTGATGTAGTAATGAATTTTTTTATTGTATTCCTTGTTCAATCTCATGTATTCTTCAAATATTGGGCTTTACCTTGAGTCTCTCTGGGTGTTCTTTCTCTGTTTTGTGCAACATTTCTTGGGTTGGACAGAAAGATTACTGACAAACATTGTTTATACTTCTGAAACAGGTATATTTGTATGGGGGTCAAGTTACATCATGGAAAAATGAATATGGGAAGGATTTGCTTTTCGTTTGTAGCAAGGTATCAGATTTCAGTACAGATTATCTTATGTCGTATGTAGGGTTTCCATCATAAAGGTGCTTCATATTTGTTGCCATCATAAAAAATGCTTCTTGTGTGTGTTGCTATCCTAACTCTCTAGGGTTGAATGTTTATGACTTTAGAGAGATGTAAGTTGTCGTATTGGTTGAACATTGTAACATTATGGCAGATACAGATTCTTTATTTTGTCTTTTGAATTCCTTTATCTCTTGCTTACTTTAATCTACTTTAAATTATCTTCTTAGGAAACAATAAGAAAAGTAAACAATAAAAGTTGGATCAAATACTAGGCCAGTGTCCATTATATTCTCGTTATGTTTGATTAGTGAGAAATGAATAAAGCCCATAACTCTGAAATTTGGTAAAGGTCATGGAGCATGCTATTATAGAGCAAACTACGAAGACAATTATTAATCCTCATGCTAATACAATTTTAGATAAATTTTAATTGCATGTTTGAACTTAAAAAAAGAAGCACATGTTTTAAAAAAGAAACAGCTACCGAAAATTGGAAGTTGGGTGGCTTTGGAAAATGCTATCTTCCCATTCACCATTTTTCTGTGACCTTTTATTTCCTTTCCTTTTTATAAACTATAAATAAAGTCCATTTTTCATAGACTATTTATCTTTGAGAAAGTAAATAATCAACGATGGCGCTTCAGACCTCCACCTATTCTCTGACAAATTGTTGCCTTGTTGTCTCTTGCCTTTCTTTTTCTGTAAAGCTCTAAGATAATGAAGACAAATCGAAAAGGTTAGAGGGAATGATTTTGGAAAGACATGAAGTATGGGGAAGTGTCTCGCAGCAGTAGGAAGATGAGTTTTGTGTGGAAGCTTGCATGGTAATCCTGTTGCAGCCATATCATGGTACTCCGGGCTTATTATGAGTAGAAAAGAGAGAGACCTCATTGTAGCTTCGAGAGGACATATAACTAAAAGAACCAAACTCAGATGATGGAAATTAGGAGAATGGGTGTTGAGAATATGTCAGTTCCACCTCCCATGTCTGATATTTGGTTTTAGTATCTAATGCTTACTGATCTAGCATAGCTGTGAGTTTTTTCTCCCACCTTTATTAATATAAATTCTTACTTCTTGCAGGCTACTTATAAGTCTCCTAAGGCTATCCGTGGTGGAATCCCAATATGTTTTCCTCAAGTAGGAGGCCTTCATCACTATCTCTACTTTCATTTGCTTTGGTTACTTTCCTATTTATTTGTTTTGAACATAAATAGTGTTCATATGCAGTTTGGAAGTCATGGTTCTCTTGAACAACATGGATTTGCAAGGAATAGGCTTTCGAGTATTGATCATGATCCCCCGCCCTTCCCAACAAACAGCGGTAACAAGGCTTTCATTGATTTAATCCTCAAACCCTCTGACGAGGATGCAAAGATCTGGCCTCACAGGTATTTTACTTAAAGTTGATAATTGCATGTTTGCTTAAACTAAGTGATAGGAAAATGTTCGCTAATTAAGATCATTTGAGCAACATACAATGAGCATATAACTGTTAAAGAGCAGAAGCTAGTACATATGCACTCAAAAATAAATTTAACCATGAAATTCAAAGCCTAGTAGTGTGGTGAACCATAACTCAACTCAAATCAACAAGAGAGAGTTGAGAATCCAGTATATCTTTCTAGATCCTCTTTGCATTTGCAAATGCTAATCACCCAAATTGAGGGTTTCATTCCTTTGCTTCTTGTCTCCTTAGATCCATGGATTTTGCTGATGGCCTTCATTCCATAGCCTCTAAGTCTCCACAGCAAGGGATAAGAAGATGCTAGTATCCTCTCCTTGGTTGCCGGCCTCCCAGAGATAAAAGAGAGTTGTTTCTCTCAGTTTCCTCTTGGGAATCCTAATGAGGCTTAGGCTATAATTCTCTTTATATAGGCACTTCCTTTAAGTGATTAAATGAGAAAGTCTTGCACACTCTCTCTCTATAAGGATGGCTGACCTCTAATACTCACTGGGCTTTTAAGCCTTTTGATTTTAAGTTGTCATACAACTTAAGTTAATGGGCTTGACGGTTTGAAGCCCATTAGGCCGTGAAGCCCAATACTAACTCAAGGTTAGATACGAACTTATTCGTTTGATTAATTAACGTATTAATTAATACTAGCCATAAACAATTAAACCGTTTAATTGTTCTTACTCAACTATGTTATTTTTTTAATCTCTACCCTACACGGTGTACGATCCATTAGGTTCTAATTAGCGAGGCAGTGGGCAATTACAAATTTTACTAATCGATGTGGATTGAAACTTTCTTTCAACTCTCCCTTTGATAAAGATTAGTGATTGCCAATCTTTAAGGGCTTCCACCAGCCATGAGTGACACCTAGCAGTAAGTCATGGGTACACAAGCTAAGCAGAAGAGGTGGAGAACCTTTTCAGTTTGGAATTATAATGCAATACGATCCTTCCCGATATTGATACTCTTTATGACATTGGTTGATTAGGTCTACTATCAAATGTGATACTCTTGTCTATATGATTACTGTAAATGCGATTTGGAATGTACTTCCGAAATCATATTCATTTGTTGTCGCCAAAGACTCTTGAATCATATCATAGAGTATTCTCTTTCAACAGTTTGAAGGACACTCACATGCCTTTGTGAATAAATTAGTGATCCCATCAATGCGCGGAGCAAATCTTGGGGTTATGACACATTGTCAAATGATCAAAGATGTACCCACAAGACAATTGTGGTGTCTCAGGTCAAAGAATTACTTAGCATTATCCCAACTAGTGAGTTCTCATATGACATTAGCACGAGAGCTCCAGTTTGATCGTGTTCAGTGAATACACTCCCTATTAAGCACCTACATACTTACCTTGGTGTCTTGCACACCAATTGCTAGAGACCAATCACTCTCTATTCAAAGAAGACATAGTATGTATTGTACCTACACACTTACCTTGGTGTCTTGCACACTAATTGCTAGAGACCAATTACTCTCTATTCAAAGAAGACATAGTACATACTCATCCAATCGGATTGTCAATACCCTATTGATAATCCTATGATCAAGAACGTTTAGGATATGCTTAAAAAAAGGGTAGGTCTAATAACTCTTAACTTCTTCAAATTACATTCTCTTTATTACATATTCTTTGGACTTATTGTTTAGGTGTACAACATTTAACGAGACGACATTAAACAATAACTTTTGCCTGTAGATTACACTAAATTAGTTTAATGTGTGAAATATCAGTGAAGGATCATCTCATGGTTGGATATTTTAGGGCACATTTCCAACACTAAGGTAGCCTGCCATTGTTTCCCTAGTGGCTGGAACAGTTTGTGCTCTTGTATACACACACACACACACACACACACGTCATATATGGTTATGTAGCTATCTTGCATAATCAGTTAATTAAAATACTAACTCTATGATCTATGAAGTGTTAGATTTTAAATATGTTAACTCCTCTTATCCATACTTTTTAGGGTGATGCTATCCACACATCCATTTTTACCTTTCACACATGCCTCTCAATTTTCGGCCATCGGATCAAATGAATTGAAGGAGGTCAATGGACAAAACTTAACAAGGGTGTGTGAGAAGTAAAAATGGGTGTGTGAATAGCACTACACATTTTTTGTTGCTGGATACTTGTTTGGTGAATTCTAATTATTCCTTGGTTAAGTAATGATGTAATTGCAATTACTTGCAGATATGAATTTCGCCTTAGGGTAACTTTGGGACCTGGAGGGGATTTGATGTTGACATCTCGCATCCGAAATACAAACACTGATGGAAAGTCATTTACATTCACATTTGCCTATCACGCCTATCTGGCTGTAACTGATATCAGGTTTAAAGATTACAATTTTTTGCCGTTGTTTGAATTGTTTAATTCAAATGTTTTAGCATTCCTACATAGTTTTCTTTGATCAGAACCGGAAGGCACAGTAGACATATGCTGTTATATTGCTCGGCATTTTTATTGTTGTTTATTTTTTTTTCCTGGTTTTCAGGTAAAATATTATTTATATTTACACATGCAACAGTTCTGTGCCAAAGCCATGCCTGCAACTGCAAATGTTGTTCATGCTTGACTATTTAAGGATGAGAAGAAACTTCTACTCAAAATTCTTCGTGTTCAGATCACAAAGCTGACTTTTTACTACTAGTATTGCTAGAAGACCACTCGAAAATTCTCCAGAAGGGTCTTTGGTGTTTGCGTTTGGCCGAGGGCGGATGGTTGTCTGTTGTTTCTCTACTCAGCATCTGCCACATCACTTGCACATCTTGATACCCACACGTTTGCACATCATCGTGAAGCTTCAGAAGCCCACCACCTGCATTATCCATCCAAATTCAACAGCCTTTCTAAAGGTCGTTTGAAATTATTTTCAAATTACTGAAAAATGTTTTTGGAGAAAATATTTTTGAGTTTTAAAAGCATTTAAAATATTTTTTTAGAATTCACTTGTATTTTTATTAAAGATTAGTTTTAAAACATTTTCATTAAAAATATTTTTAATCATTTTAAAATATTTGCAAACGAGCACATCTAGAATATATTCAAAATAATTAACAGTGCTTTGGTGATTTCGACGGCAAAGTTGCATCAGTATAGATGTAGATGTTCATCTTATCTCTAGGCCTCAGCCACGAAGCAGAAGATTGGTCACTCACCAGAGTCCCACTACTTTCTGACTTGGACAAAAGGAAATGGAATGGTCCCAAAAAGTATGTCTTTCACTTTGTATGGCAGGAGTCAATCACTAATTAGAACACTCTTTTGTCTCTCTTATGTGGGTCAGTCACAATGATGCGTTATATTCAATGGTTCAAGTTTTATGCTAGATTTAGCTGTTGCAAAGGTTTATTAGAGTCCTGTACATCCCCATATATAAGATTTAACCATTAATTTTAGAGAGTTTTAATGATAAACTCACGGTATTGTTCACTTTAATGAAAAATCATATTTTTACACTAAAAAGTCAATCCTGGTGTTATTCACTTTACCCTTTATTTTGTCATTATCGTTAAAACTCAAAGTTTTCAAACTATTTTCCTTATTTTTACTTTAATTTTATGCGCCACTCAATAGTTTGTTTCATGAAAGGAATTGGTCCTTTACTAGTATGTTTACTCTAGTGTAACAAAATTGCGATGGGATCGTTCAATCGTAATTTCTACTTTATTACTCTCAAGTTTTCAAATATTCTGATGTTAGTATATAAGGTTTATTTTGTCTAACTTTTGTACCCAATCGTTGATTTTTCTACTATTTCCATACATCAGTTATCTTTATGACTAGTCCTTCAGTATATATTCAAGTGGCGCAGTTTGTCCCATCAAATTTATGCCTTGTAATTATCAATCAGTGACAGACTTAACGGATAGGCAAATAGATGTATGGAAGTGAGAGGAAAACCAGCGTTTGAGACTTTGAGTTCGAAAGGGAGATAAACAGAAAAATAAAAAATAAAAACCTGTTAATAGTAAAGGCGAAAAAATAAAAAAAATAAAATATTAGGCTAGTAAAATGAAAATTAATTTTCAATTTATGTTACTAAATCAGATTTAGAAATGCCTTTTTTCTGGCTCTTTTAGAGCCTATTTGCAAGAAATTAAAAAGGAAAAAAAAATAATAATAATAATAACTTTGCGAAACGTTTGGTGCAATTCATCATTGGTTGGTATGTTGGAGAGTTCCCAAGTGATGGAATTAAAACTTGTTTTCTCAAATTGCTTAAAGTTGGTTAAAAATTAAAAAAAAATTAGTGGGGGGGGCTGATTGTTTCTTTATTACTAGATGTAAACTAAAATGATGGTTGATGATTGAATTATTAATTGTTGATTAATGTGTTAAGAAGACTATCAATTTAAATCATAAATTATAATGTACGCTCATCATATACCTAATTATCTACCACATAAATCATTTATCCGATTAAACTATATAAATATAAACTAAAAAATTGGTCTACCTAACATTACTCAACATTACTCCTGACCTAAATGAAATAACAATTAGCTCCATTTACCATTACTTATTAATTAATTATTAAAGTGGTCCTAAAATTAGGGTAAGACTCATTGAGTGTTTTGTATTGTACATGTAGAGTAATCGAATTACTATTGGCGGTTGGGATTTTTATATGACTACAATACAATTCAAGATTGGGCACTGATTTTGACGTTGTTATTTGTTTTTGGCGCACACAAATTGATTCATTTACCCAATCACAACCACCGACAAAATTAAACTGTATTGTATCCTCCACTAGTTCCCCACTAGATCTATTATATCATCCACTCAAAATCCTTCTTCATTCGCTTAGGGCGGAGATGGCTATAAGCTCATGGAGGATTCAAGACTTAGAAAATATTACCCCACTCTTGTATAATTTCTTCACTTCGCATTTATTCTAGGTCAAAAATCCTACATACGACTCCATAGAATGAGAGTTTAATAGCAATTTATTGTAACTCACCGTTGTGATTCAATCTAAATTTTGCATCTTTAGTGTAAATCTATTGTTGTGTAATCATCAATAATATACTTTTGTCTAAGAATAAAATGATCCGAACCTTTGAAATTTGATCTAAAAGTAAAGAAATTATTATAACTTTTAAAAGTGTTTACTAATTTTTTTACTTTTAACTGCTGAATTAAATTTCAAAGATACAAATCACTTGATTCCTAAAATTTAGAGAGAGATCCGAAGATGATCTCTTTGCGGGTAAAATAGAGAACTTGATGATGTGTAATCATCAATGATTAGATTTTATTGTGGCATTTTCTAGAAGTTTTGGTTATTGTGGGATGATAAAAAAAATATAAAAAAAAAATACTTATTTCTAGAAGTTTTGTTTTCCATTAAAAAAATTGAAAAAACAGAGGAACACTTGTTTGACAAGGAGGAATGAAACGAAAATATGCTTCTTATGAACGCATTGAAAAGGAAACATAAAAAGAAAACAGAGATGAGGAAAAGGATAGAATTAAAAATAAACAAAATAAAAAAAAAAGAATAAAAAAGTGGGGAGCATCTATCAATATATATGAATTATGAAGCTTAATCTAGTACGAAAATTGTTAACCATCCACCTCCAGGTTTTCCAAGTGCAGAAATAAATGGATACATATGCAGCAAATTATGAATATAACAACACTATATATATATATATATAAATAAATTTAGAAAGAAGAAGAAAAACTGAACAATATAATATTGAAGTGAGTGAGTGACCATTTTTGCGATCCTTGACGCGGGTAGAGACGGCAAGCCAGAGACGGCGGACAGGGAAGATCATCTTGCCCCAAAACTCCATCAACCTTGCTTTTATCACTTTTACCTTCTTTCTTCCTTTCCTTTTCCCGCTACTCCCTCTAATTGCTGCTGATATGCTCCTTCTCCCTGCCAGACCTTCTCTCTCCTATCCTCTCCTCTCCTCTCTCTCTCTCTCTCTCTCTCTCTCTCTCTCTCGAATCAATTAGGATATGATACAAAGAAATGTTTTACAGGGACTCAAGAGGAGGGAGACTTCGAACTCAGAGAGCTATTGAAAACCCACTAGTGCTCTTTTGAAAACCCGCAAGAACAAATGATACGCCCTCCAGTTTGTCTTATAAGCTCCAATAAGAACCACACATCTCTCTCTCTCTCTGTAGTGCTCACTGTTCATTATATTCTTTAATAATCTTTACTTTTACGTAAGATTAAAAGCATATCTAAAGAACATGTTACAAAATTTAATGGTTTACGTGGTAATTTGATCTTTTTTTAACCCTTTGTTCTAACCGTTATGTTGAATTCAAATTTCATTTTTATCTACTCTTGAGGTGTATTTATTCAACTCATAAATATTAAAAATTGATAGCCACTCATATTTTTGCACTAGCCCAAGGTTTAGGAAATGGATTATTTCCGGATCTCTTTCATCAAATTCACCAAGTTCGGAAATTCGGGCTGTTGAAATTTGATCCAATGGCTACAATTATTATAACTTTTAAAAGTGCCCTTTATTTGTAGCCGTTAAATCAAATTTCAACGATCCGGATTCCCAGACTTGGTGGATTTGGTGAAAGGGATCTGAAGCGGATCCCTTTCCCAAAGTTCAATATTGGGTGAGAGCCACTGGCGGAGCCAGGATTAGATAACATTGGGGTCATGATAAGCAAGTCTTAAATTAAAAATAATTTTTTTTTATAGTTTGTCCATGTAGTAGTGTCATACTCTTTGTTTATCCTTAAAGCGCTAACAAAAAATAAAGAGTAAATTGTAGCAATGGTCCTTCAACTTTAATCAAATTAGAGCAATGGTCCCTCAACTAAAAATACATTACCATTGATCCCTCAACTCATCAAAATGTATATGTATGGTCTTTCTCGTCAACTTCATCAGAATTTTAATGAGTTATGTTGGAAGGATCATTGCTAATTGGGGTCCCTCAACTCATCAAAATGTGTAGTTATGGTCTTTTTCGTCAACTTCGTCATAATTTTTTCAAAATGAGTTATGTTGGAAGGACCATTGCTACAATTGGGTTAAAGTTGAGAGACCATTCCTCCAACTGGGTTAAAGTTGAGGGGCCAATAGTAATGGATTTTTAGTTGAGGAACCATTGCTCTAATTGAGTAAAAGTTAAAGGACCATTGCTACAATTTACTCAAAAATAAAAGAAAACATCAAGCACCACACATGACAATAAACCACGAATCAAGAAGTCAATACATCCAGGAAATATGCAGTCCAAGACAGAAGAGGAAATAAGATGAGTTTTTTGTTTTTTTTGTTTTTGGTCAATTAATAAGAATTTGAGTTAAGCACATCGTAAAGGACATTGGAAATGTGAATTAAGAAGAAGTTGCACCACATAAGAAGAAGATAGAGGAAAGAAAGGAGAAAATTAAAGTAGCAGCAGCAAAAAAGAGACTGGTTAAGAAACAAAAAGCTAAAACTCACACCTACAAACCATTTCTTTCCCAAACTAGCAGGGGTCTAGACAAAAAAACAAGAAGGAAAACATTGGGTTATTGGGGTCATGTGAACTCAATGACCCTAGTGTGGCTCCGCTAGTGGTGAGAGCCCATCTATTATAAAAGTCAAAAGCTCAATTTGACTAAGACGTCAAATTAGGCGGTAAGAGCCAAGATGCTATTCCACATCAGAAATGAAGCATTGGTTAGAGAAAGTTTTGTTGCTTCTTTTAGCGTTATGTTTACTTGGAACTTTTACATCTTCTTTATAAATGCTCGAAGGCTTCTCAATTATGTTTGTCTACAAAATACATCTTGTTTTAAACTTCTTATTTAAGTGTGATTGTGTAAATCCTAGATTAGATTTGATTTTAGTTATTCTTCTCTATTAGGACTTGTATTCCTTGGAGGAAAAGGATTTCTTCTCTCTGTTATTACTATAAATAAAGGCATTGTGTAGGGAGAATAACACATCCTCTACACAACCCTACAAACACATAAATTTGATATGCATTATATCCATAATTGTTGAATTATGTGAATTTGATATTGCCATGAATTGCATCAAATATATGTTCATGCATCAAACATAAAGATTTTTTTAGGGTTTCTCAAAACCCATTGAATTATGTGAATTTGATATTGCCATGAATTGCATCAAATATAAAGATTTTTTTAGGGTTTCTCAAAACCCATCCCGTCATCACCGCGAGCTGCTGGCTTCCCTAGCCACACCATATCGGGCCACGAGACCACCAAACCCATGGGCTCCAGGTTCAAACCCATAACCCATTCGTTACAGGTTAGCTTGCAGCCAATCCTCAACCATTGGTCAACGTTTTGACAACCTGCAACTCGCCCCCAACAACGCTTGATCGAGATTTTATTGAATCTCGTCGGATTTTTCAATTTTTCGATTTGAATTTCTAGGGTTTTGATTAAAACGTTGAGATTTCTCTATCTCCGTTCAGATTCGTGATCCCCGTTGGCTCACGAACTCTCCCCAAGAATTTTTGTCCCAAAACATAGCAGCCCGAAGTGGTGGCACCGATCTTCTTCCCCTGCGAGCGCACCCAGCTACAACTAAGGTGTTTTTGGTTCTAACCTAAGCCCAATTGGGCCTTGTTTTTCTCGGCCTAAAAATACTTTTTTTTTTTTGTTCCTTTTTTGGGCTCTCCTGTAGTGGCTCAAACCATTAGCTCGGCCCAAGCATGACACTAGCCCATATGGCTATGATGTCCCATATGCCTGTGACACACCGAATCCCAGCCCTTACAGGTGCATCCGTGTCCATGAAGCACCATATCAGAGCCCGTTTGGGCCTATATTTTTGGGCTTGCACCTGCATCTCGTTTTCTGTAATGTTGTGCCTGCCTACATGCTAGGCCCGTGCCTACCCCAACCCAGTTTTGGCCATGGACCTCATAATACCAGTTCACTCAGCCCACCAGTGGGCTTTGGTCCATGTTTTTGGATCCCGAATTTTAATTGCCTATTTTTTAGGTACTTTTGGTTTTATAATTTTTCACCCACACTTTAAATTTGGCCCGAAGTCCAAATAATTAATTCAATTATAATTATAGACCTAAAGTTCTATTTGCATATTTTATTGTTGCATATATATATATATTTATTTATTTGTGTTTGTCTGTAGGAATATATGAACCTGAAGTTCATAATTATTTTGAAACCTGAAGTTTCTAGAAATATGACTTGTTTGAAAACCTTAAGTTTTCCTTAAAAACATCACCCATGAAAACTCGAAGCTTTTTCATGTAAATTTAAACCAATACATGTCTATCAGAACTTGAATGTTCTACTCTTATGTGAATGGATTGATTTTTTCTCCATTACACTAACCACTTCTTGTCCATTTATTTTGTGATAGGAACATGTCTCGATTTTGAACAAACTCGGGTCAAAGATGAGAAGCTCCATCTCACTGCAAAGAATTTGCATCCCGCCACTAAAGATGAGACGAACAACCCGATTGGCAAAGCTGAGAAAGCCATTGCCATGATCTTCATCCGAAGACATATTCATGATGCACTACAAATAAAGTACCTTGCTGAAAAGGATCCACGAGCACTTTAGGTCACCTTGGTTGATCATTTTGATCACTAAAAGGACATCTTCTTGCCTGAAGCAAGACATAACTGGCAGTATTTGCATTTCCAAGACTTTAAGTCTGTGAATGAATATAATTCTGAAGTTTGTCGAATCTGATCACTTCTCAAATTCTATAACGAGACCATGACCGAAGAGGCTCTTCTGGATAAGACCTATTCGACCTTCTAATATTGTCCTATAGCAACAATGTAGGGCTCATAAGTTAACTAAGTTTTCAAATTTGATCTCTATTTTACTTCTCGCTGAAAAGCAGAATCAGCTGTTGATGAAAAATCATCAAGCTCGACCTACATGGGTAACTGCTATGCCTGAAGCACACTATAGCACAAACAAACGCCCAAAATGCCAAAATAGGTGTGGTAAAGGTGGCCAGAAGCCACCCCGTCAAGGTCAACAGAGCCAAGGCCCACCTAAGGGAGGAAACCGAGCCCAGAAACACCCTAACCTCGCTCCCAAGGCCCCAAACTTCAAGAATAACGGCAAAGCACTTGAAACCATGGATGCGGACATGTGTTATCGCTATGGTTCCAAGGACCAATGGTCCCGTGTTTGCCGAGCTCCCTAGAAGATTGTACCTCAATATCATTCTCGTCATAATAAGTTTGAATCAAACTTTCTGCAAATGGATGAACCAAAGAGTACCAAGATGGAGGTTTCTAACTTTCAGGAGGATACCACCCCTATGGAAGATTAGAATTCTAGACATAAACTATTTTTCTAGTTGAAATTTAGATGATGGGGCCGAATTCCATATAGTGGATGAACCCCCCTTGTTTTTGGTTTAATTCTTGATCAATTTTCCTTTATGTTTGGATTATTTTTTGGTGATTTGTTTTTGGATAATAAGTTTTTAATTAATTACCATCCTTGAATACTTAAAATTATTTTGAATGGATATTTTTTTTTAGAACTTTTATGCATGTGACCGATTCAAATTCATTTTATTCTATGTATGACTAATGGGAAAGTTAATTGTCTGGCAAATAGTGCAACCACGCACATCGTTTTGTGTGAACGCATCTATTTCACACAAATAATGTTGTCTAATGGTACCTAAAAATGCATCTCTGACAACCCTCTCAGATCCATCCAACCTAATCGAAGGATACGGTAAGGCACGTATAATGTTGTCTAATGGTACAATTTTGACCATTGATGAGGCACTTTATTCTCCGCGTTCCGGAAGAACGTTGTTGAGTTTCAAGGACATTAGAGATAATAATTACCATGCTGAAACCTATGTAGAAAATGGAGTTGAATTTCTATGCATAACTTCCAACGAATATGGCTAGAAGCATATTCTAGAGAAGATGAAGTGTATCCCGAGTAGTCTGTATACTACGACCATACACCCTATAGAAAGCCACTATATGGCCGGCCCTACCTCTGGAATCGCGCACGAAATTACACTTTGACATGATTATTTGGGATACCCTGGATGAATAACGATACACCGTATCCTCAAATCATCACACATGTATCCACTAACTCGAAGCTTAGGTTTGATTCAAGGAATCATATGTCAAACCTGCTCAATGGGAAAACTTATTATTAAGCCTTCTTATGTCAAGATTCATTCGAATCCTCCTATTTTTCTACAAAGGATTTAGGGGAACATTTGTGGATCGATTCACCCTCCCTGCGGACCATTTAGATATCTTATGGTTTTGGTTAACGCTTTCCCACG